ATTATAAATATATATTATATCATATAAAACTACGATTTTTATGTTTTATTTATACTACGTTTGTATACCGTAGTTCTGATGTAACATTTTCGAGTATATAAGAAATAAAAGTTATAATTTATAATAGATCTACATCATTGTGTGTACTTCCTTTGTCGTAACTGCATTAATGGTAATAATTATATTTCATGGTATTAATCAGTTTACAATCGAATTAAATATATTATAATCAATTCGGATCGAATATACCACTATTATAGGCTGCTGTATCTTATAAACACTATTATTTTCAAATATATTTACATGATATCAACAAATTACGAAAATTGCAGAGGAAGGTACCGTCGAATATACAAAACAGGAAATGACGTCGGTTGCTAGGTTACAGCGCATGCATATTCAGTAACACCTGTGCTCATTTGACTAACAATAAAAACTTTTAGCTCAGTTTTGACAAAATCGACCAAAAAGATTTTATTGTTAGTCTAATTAGAACAGGTGTTACTGAATATTCATGATTATGCATGAGCTTGTTGCTTAGCAACCACGTAATTTCCGGTTTTATGTTTTTGTTGAGGGAGCCCTCGAAACGATGTCGAATTTTACAAAACAGGAAATGACGTCGGTTGCTAGGATACAGCTCATGAATATTCAGTAACACCTGTGCTTATTAGACTAACAATAAAAACTTTTAGCTCAGTTTTGACAAAATCGACCAAAAAGTTTTTATTGTTAGTCTAATTATAACAGGTGTTACTGAATATTCATGATTATGCATGAGCTTGATGCTTAGCAACACGTCATTTCCGGTTTTATTTTTTTTGTTGAGGGCGTCCTTGAAAGGATTTGATTGCTAGTTTAATAGACAAAATTAATGGACAAAGTAGCTAATACTGATGAAGCAATTATTCACTTTCGGTTCACGCCTATAAGGATACTTTAGCTACTGAATTTATTACAGTAAACAAAGACATTGAATAAGATGAGAAGAAATACATAATTCCATTTTATATTTATTTTTAAACATTGAAATCAAGTTGGGATATATGTATACATTTTATTATATACTGTATACATGTACATTCAGCATAAATCAATATACTCTACCTGATTTTAACCCTCAAAATTATATATAGGCCTATTATTATCTTACATGTCTATATTCTTTACAAAAAAACGAGTTATTTTCTCTGTTATTAAGATAAACATTAGTAGCAATAATACAATATTAATACACATAGGCCTACAGCCTGTAAGAAATAACAGATTTTTGCCGAGGAAAATATTTAAACAATAAAATAATTATAAACATTATATAAAACATTAAAACATTCTATTTTAATTAATTTTATATCCCGAATTTTTGCAGGAAACTTGGTGAGTGACAACATTTTTGGCTATCAATCAATAATTGGTAAGTTCTGTCGCCCTTGTACGATCGAGTCCGGACATTCTTTCCTGATATTTGTAGATTCTTTGTCTACCTCCTGGAATAGAAAAATATTGAGAAAAAAATTTAGAGACAGAGAAAGAATTATTACGGAGTATCAAAACATAATATATAAATAACAATTAGTGAGCACTCCAACATGAATATTATCCTATTCAGTTATCGCAATATATAGACAATGCTTTCATACCACCACGGAATGAATGAGGATTATTAAATACACGGTATTTGGTAGGCCTAGTAGATCGCAACAGTTTGAAAAATTATGTTAGCATTCGATTGTCATGGTTAGATAAAACGTATAAAAGTGTACCATTCGATAGAAATGAATAGTATACAGATTCATAAATACAGTATATTCAAACAATAAACATAATACTATAACTATATCTTCATACAAACATTTGTCATGATATAATATTTATTGACTGATTGCTTAACCTGCAGAAGCAAGATGAAAAAATGAATTGTGATTAAGAAAATATATATTAATGAGCATCAGGATCGCCCGTTAGGCAGGAGCCCAGCTTATTTCCAATGGGGTCCATTTTAAAGATATACTGACATGAGCTGAAAGATGAAACGTTTCATTCCATGGATAATTAAATAATTATATTTAAGTAAGTTTACAATTAAATATCTAAATGATAAAATTGTTGCGATCAGTTAATAATACCAGTGCTATATTCTTATATATACATAGACACTTAAATTGGCTGATGGTGTAAATTTAAGGATTTTTGTAGTAAAATGTCCGTAAATCAGAAAAAAATGAGACAAATGTCGACAGTGGTGCAATAATTTTGAACGGGGTCTGAATCAAGGGGCTACTTAGAGCCTCGGTTAGGGTCTCGAAATACCCATGGGGTGGGGTTCATGGGGAAACATTTTACGGTTCAGGATCGCCCATGTGCTTTTTGACCACAATTGGATTGGCTATGGAAATTAATTTGTTTGGATTGACAAATTAATTTTTGTCGTGAAGTTGCACGATGGTTGGGGAGGGGGGTGAGTCGTCTCCGGCCATTCTAGAACATAGAGCATGGAGGTGCCATAATCAAATCCATTTGTTAAAGTCCCACCCTGGACTCCCATCTATTTCGAATCTCTGGATCCGCCACTGGTAGCTTGATATCGACATCATGGAGGTACACATCCATGAAAATCACTTTCGCTGTCCTTTGAAAATAATATAAAAATATTTTTGTAGGGCTATAACAAATTTTAATTATTCATGATTGAAAGTTGTGCACCAGATAATGACAAGATTCTTGATTTCATATAATGTTAATTAAAAACACAGACAGTAGCGGCGCTACGGGAGGGGGGGGGGGGGAGGCACACGGAAGAGGCATTCTCCCAGAAAATTTTCTTTCCCCCAAAAAAAAAAAAAAAAAAAAAAAAATAACACTGTTTATTATCATTGGATGTTGTAAAACAATGAAAAAATGCCATTGATCACAGTATTCTTTCTCATAGAAATTATGATCAATAGATAAGATAAAGAAAAGGAAAAATATTTCAAGGGTTAGGAAGTGAAGTAAATAAAGTCATGAATGAAACTGAATAATACAGAATAAAACTCACTTTTTTTGGAGGGGGTGGTGGGGATCTCTCCGTTTTCACCTGTGCAGCATTCTCTTTAATTGTCTTTTTTGTGTCTGTCTCTGACAGAACCACAAAAAAATGATGACATTTTTCACACTTAACGAACCGTGTTGATGCTGGAAAAATAAGTATGAAAATATCATACATGCGCAGATTTTTAAACAAATATAAGTAACCTACAAGACTAAGACCATCTTACGCAGTAATTCAAGCCCGTAGCCTGCATCTACATAAGAGGTTCGGAGCATTGTGTTAAGGGACATCACTTAAGAGCCAAATGGGGTTCAGTGGCTTATAGCTGTCTCTTATACACATCTAGATGTGTATAAGAGACAGATACATATATACATATAGTTTTTAATCCACCATGCGCTTGTTGAAGTACGCTTCAACTCTTTTCATTGTCAATCCTTAACTTTAGTAATTAAGATGATTTTGAAAATGTTTAGAGGTATAGGCCTACATATAAAATAACAATTAACTACTGTATTATACACTTTTGGGGGTGGGAGCCGGCAAAACTTATAGTATAGTGGCTAAGTCGGCCCTAATTACTTGCAATCAAAATTCATACCCTTTTAAAGTGAGGGACATTCATTTTTGTAAAGTATGCTTGTGCTATTTCCCTGCAGAGGAGTCATTTTTTCAACCATGGTGGAGCTGAGATGGGTAGGATGAACTAACTGTTGTGTCTGCCCCTTGTTGGGGAGGGGTAGAAAGACTACAGGTTTGCCACCTATTTCTGGGCATCCAGAGGTGTCATATTTCCAAAACTTGCTCCACTCAATTCCAACCATGGTGGAGCTGTGGTGGTATAGACTCTAATTTCATGCTAACTTGAAATGTTTTGGCTTCCCCTTCAGGGGAGGGGTACTGCTCTACTAGTTAGAAGCTGCTATTTACAGGCATTCAGAGGTGCCAAAAATGTTGCTCAAAAACCATGGTGGGCCTATTTAGGCTCAAAGGTATGATTCAAGTGACATTTGCAAACATGAATAGTGTTTTTGTATTCCGTAGGTGTTACAGACCACAAAGCAACCTGAAAATTGCGGGGTCGAAAAATCGTCCGATTTCGACAAAAACTGTGAGCCCTTACACTTACAGAGGACCAAACCCGGTCCTCGAATCACTTGTGCTGCATTGTGCTGGATTTGCGTGTACAACGCGTTTCCTGATTTTCTGTAAAGCTCCTCGGATGGCGGGAAAATTTGAATATGTGTCACAACACGTTACGCGCTTTTGTGGGTTGCACAAATACATAGCGCCCTCTATGCATAAAACGTTGAGCCAAAGATCTTATAAACACAAGATAGCGTTCTCCGCGATATCTGCGTGCAAAATCTGTAATAACGCAGTGTACGATGCCCTCTTGCAAAAATGAAAACTTTTAAACTTTGACTGCTTTGACCACCACACCACGTACACCGCGCAAATTTACCTTTACGTGTAACAATTAGAAGCTTCGATTTACAATTAAGGAACAATAACGTACTTGTTAACGAACTTTGGCGTAACGCAAACACCTTATCTCAGATCTATGGCAACAACTAGGATGCCCTCTCCCAAAAATGATTACTTTCTGCTGCCAAATTGACACTTCTATTTGTTACGCGTAAATCGCGGAGAACGCTATCTTGTGTTATAAGATCTTTGGTTGAGCACGTGTGTGGCGTTGTCCATGGCATAACCCTGAGCGTATTTTATGGTTCTCGGCATACTTTGCTGGTCCTCGGTCGGTCCTCTGATGACTGTTTTTAGTCAGGGTCCTCTGGACATAACGTTTACAGGTATGTGTGTGTGTATAAACATATGTATTTTTGGTACACTAATTAAGAATTTTGAATGAAGTGAGCTGAATGTAGGGAAGAGATGCAGGGACAACACCACTGCAAAATAACATTCACTCACACAGGAAAAGAGACACATTTAAACTACAATAATATCGCATGTGAATACAAATGCTCTTTAATTTAAAAGGAAAGACAATATCTTTCCTAAATCTGTACAATGCACAATCTTTTGTATTGGCTCAGCATATTTTCCAATGACAAAGAAACTAGCAATCTTATAATTATTTACACATTTATAGAAATATTTAAGCTTGAAAACTATTTACACTTCTTAAAGCAGCTAACTGTTCAGAGGGGCGGATCAAGAATTTTTCAAAATGGGGGCACAACCTATTCAGAATAGAAAAGTGAGAGCGTTAATTTCCATATATGCCTTGAAATTTTAAAATTTAGTGGCAAAATGGGGGAGGGGAAGCCCCCCTGTTGGATCCGCCCCTGGCTCATTAACACACTGTCAGAAAACTACAGGTTCAGAGATATTAGGTAGCTTTCGATTTGCACAAGATGCTAGAATGGATTCACTCATGCATGATGACCGTCTTACGTTCTCTACATAACGTAGATTTGGCTAAATAGCATCATAGAATCCATGCGACCACGAGAGATCAATGTTCTTGCTTGCGCATATGACTTTACGTAACGTCATTACGTTCTACATCCTAACGTCGTCATGTAATCGAAAGCTTGCTAATAGCAAAAGAAATGTGACAAGAAGTTCGAAAGGAACAGATTTGGAGTATTACAAGGAGAGCAGCTAATTGATCTAAATCACATTTGATCGTCTGAGTATTAATTAATATATGGCAGCCAAGATCACTAATTTCAAAAGTAAATTAAATCATTAGTCCATGATCGACAGGAACAATACAAATCATTCTCAGTATTGCTAAATAATATTCAATCAAGTGATTGTAATGAAATGACAATTGTACAAATTCAGTATGAAATGACTTGTCTTCAATGAATAGGCTCGCATTATTTAAGACAGTCGAGAATGTATGGAGTATAAAATTTGTAATGATTAATAGAGAATCTAAAATCTTTACATTTTAACCAGAAATCTATTGTAGTATGCAAGTGATGCCAAGTAATGAAAAATCAAAGCTGTGATCCAACCACATTTTAAAGTTCCTTGAGTACTTCTTATGATATTTCTTAAATCAATAATTTCAAAATTATAAGTAATCATTTGTCCATGATCAACATGAATGATGAGAATTGTCAGCACTATTGACAACTGATAATAAATCAGTCATCACAATGATTTTGAAATCATAAAAATGTAATAAAACAAATCAAGCAAGCAAGAAATAACAAAAAAAGATAAATATCAAAGCATGAGCAATCTAATTTAAAATGTAAATCATAAATTGTATTAGATCACTATAATCACAACGGAATATAATTCATGATTTACATAAAATTCAAGATTAAAACCTTCAAAAGTTGTGTCATCTTCTTAATGGACTGTGTATCCAAGTAAGCCCAAAATGTATACTTAGTTGCTAAGGGAAAGAACCACAAAATGATTTTTAAACATGGTTAAGTATTTGGAAACAGGTACATATTCCTGGCCCTGCCTGTTTAAATATCACAAACTTGTTGGTCGGTTAAAGGTCCATTACCTGGCTTTGTATGTCCTTTATAAAATGGCAGTGTACTTGTCTATCAGAAAAATAAAAGACTGCAATAACAAATACTGTTCTGTATTCAAAACTTAAAATTATAAGTACCATACTCGTGCGAATAAGCGCCGGGCCACCTAAAATATTTTTGGCTCTTTTTGATGGGCTCTTATTCAAACGGGGCGCTTATGAAAACAGAGTGGAAATTAAGGGAGCGCTTATGGAAATAGATGAAAATTGAAGGGGTGCTTATGGGAAATTGGAAAATTGAAGGGGCACTATGCTTAATCGAAGATAAACGAATGGTTTTGGTGAAGAAAAGGTAATCATTGAGAGAACATGACTCATGACAAGAATGTTGGGGGTATTTACACAACAGCACATGAAATTAGTGGTGGTGTTGGTGGTAGTGTGATAAGAGTACTGGCCATCTGCCAATTCAGATTAGCAGGATCATTGCAGAGTTTCTTGTTTAGATACGAGAGTGATGAGGTCAGTTTATTTTTGTTGACTGAAAATGGCCATACAGTATTTTAATTTTTAGATATTAAATACTGTAGTTCTAAATCCAAAAAGCCTAGCAATAAAACAAGAACAGGATTCTAAAGATGCATCAAAACTGAAAACTATGTTAAACTTAATGGAGACTGATAGACCGACAAATGGACAGATGGACTGACAATGCTAAATTAGCTGCAAATATTGGATGCAGAAAATTAAGTTGGTGATGTACTGTATTGTATGTAATTGAGGGGGGAGCTTATTCAAACAGGGCACTTATTCGTGCAAGTATGGTACTGTAAAAAAAAAAAATTAAAAATAAAATGAGAGGTTTCCCGAAGATAGAGGGAAGATAGTAGGCTAGTCTCCACGTCACCGAGGGGGCTATAGATTTCACTGTTCCCTGAATCTAGAGCAGTCAATATTTGCTTTATACACTTCATACATAGATTTTATGAGCACTAAAAAAGTAATGAAAGGAGTACCCAGCAAGTAGGCCTTGGCTAGGCATTAATTGATGGTACTAGCTGATCCGCTATGACCTCGTCGTAGAGGTCAGTCTCCTTTATTCTCTTTGCGTGTGTGAGAGTACATCGTGATAGGCAAAAAAAGCACTATCATTTAATAATATGATAGTAATTTTTTTCCCCGGGAATTTATTCAACTATCATTCAAAAGATGGTTGAAGTTATTACCCACTTTTAACCAATCAGATGCCTGTAATCTATATATGTGTTACATAATAACAATTGTAACATGTGCGCTATATAAATCATATTTATTATTATCTATTATTCACTGTCATAGCTCATATACTGCCTTATGCCATCAGCAATTAATAAAATTCAAGGTAAAAGTAGTAACAGTAACCACAGAATTAAATGATGATGATTTGTTCTTTCTTTAATATTATATCTAAGACCTTTTATTAACTCTGAGACATTCTAATAATTCTGAGATCATATATTAATTCTGTGATTGGCTGGTACACCATATAATTTACATTATATCTGTAGAATCAGATGTCCCACTACTTGATCTTGAGAATTTCCTTCCCCCATCGTTCTCCTCTTCCCTTGGCCTTTTCTTCTGAAAGTAACAAAGAACAAGGAAGTATGATTAAGATATGACCATTATGCTGATATATAGGTTTGCCTTGCCAAAAACCACCATCAGTAACAAAAACAAGAAGATTATTTTTTAATATATTCTTATTCTCTACATTACAAGCTTTCAAATAATAGGTCATTTAGGTCCGATATACAAATTATTCCCAAGGACAGAAATGGGTTTGGAAAAACTATGTATTACAAACGCGTCTAGGAAAGCGATCATCTAATTATCATGTCTCATGAATATTAATAAGCTAAGCTAATATTTCTGTTTAACATGTTTGCCATTGTTTCTATTGTTTTCGATGACAAACGGGTCAGTGTCGTTTGGAGCGGTCCCTGGTTGAACTAGTGTTTTCGTACAATTTCAAATACTGAACAAGTTTTATTTTGAAATGAACCAAGTATACTTTACAAAGATTAAACACTGCATAGTCCTAATAGTATATTTCTAGACCCGTTGTTTGTAGGCCCTAGTTAAGAGGTAAATGATGATGACAGCACATAGTGTATTGCTATTTGGTCCATCGGACCGACATATCTTCATTTAGCAGCCTACCTGAGGAGCTGACGACAAACGCAAATATTATCTCTGCACACATCATCAACTCCCTGCACACATACATGCCAAATATCATTCATTAAACCATAGAGAAAATAGATGTTCTATTTCTATTTTAAAGCTAGGCAAAATATATATTCAGTGCCTAGGCCTAGGCAACTACTGTACTGTAGGCCTACTATTATATTGGGTACCTCGTGCGTGGATGATCAGCGCAGAGTACACAACATCACGTGACAAATGTCTTTGAGCGCCGCTCCGGACAAAAGTAGGTCAGTTCACATGCTAACAATATGACGTTCCCATGGAGTGCCTGATGCCAGTATTTAAAATTAAGTATAGGCCTATAGGTTTGCTTATAGTTTTATTCTTTAGTCTTGTATGTATAAATCTTGCTTTGTATTTTATATAATTTATGTGGGAAAGCTTGTGTGTTAAATAATAATATTGAAAAAGCATTCAATGGTAAATGCCGCTACCATCGTTTCTACAGATCGAATAGCGGGCAGAATATTAGCAGGTAATAGGCCAACAAATACAGTAAATAATATAGTACGTTGGAAGCTATTTTCATTGTATATAAATTAAGGTAAAATAAATAGTAGACCTATATGTTTCAAAATGAAAGTATTTTGAAGGAAATAAACATTTACACTGTTTGATCGCCACATGATTTTATTAAACTTGTTAATGATCTCGCCTAGCTGTTTTCCATTTCAACTTTAAAATGGAATAAACAGCTCGAACGACAAGCTTCAAAACAGTATTTCACAGATGTGCTTAGAGAGCTTGTCATAAAACAATAGGAAACGTGTTTGACCCATTTATGTTGTTGGGGATAATTTGTAGATCGCGCCTTACTGAAATTAACTTACTACAGTAACATCTCCCAATCACGTACCCCTCTGTCCGAACAGGGTTCGTAAATGAGAAAATTCATAATTCAGAGAGTTCAAATTTTCAGCATCTCGGTGAGGTGAAGGTAGGCCTAGTCTACAAAGTACAGTACAGGGCAAGGTAAGCCTGTCTTGGGAGAGAAATTTTGTCACGAAATGTGACTTTCTGCAACAAAATAATACCTTACAAAAGCCAAAATTACCTGTGACTCACTGTGAAGTATTCATTTGAAGTGATTTCCAAATGAAAACATGACCATACAATGGCCAAAACGAATGTTATAATTCTTTTCATAAAGATTGCGAATCCCTGCAAATGGCTCCCCTAATGATCATAAAGTGAGATTTGCTGTACAGTATGCCTGAACAAGCATGCTTTCCTTCTTAGCTGATGTAACAATTTCAATTATTTCTGAAGACTTTTAAATACATTTTAAAGTGTTTTTGTAGTTAAAAACGAGCGTTCATAATGACGTCACCGCTGCAAATTCGGTTCGTAAAATCGAGACTTTGTAAAAGGGAGGTTCGTAATTGGGAGATGTCACTGTATTGCCAAAGTTATGAGTAGATATATTATGGGCTCTCTGTATTAAAATATACAATACTGCAACATTCATATGCTAATTATTCAGTATAACATTTATCAACATAACGCTGGTGTGCATAGTTGTCTTTAATGCAATTCAGAAGCCTCACCACCTTTACTGACCAACTAGCATTGCCAAAAGCTTTCGGCAATAGTCTGTAGCGATATCAAGGAAAACTGAGCTTTCGATATTATACAATGTATTAATAAAAAAAACCTACTGGTGTTGCATTTGGCGGCGGCATTCCATTTGTGGCAATGCCCATTAACTTGCAGGCCTTCTCTTTCATTATCTTGTCATCAAGCCAGGGATGGTCAAGGACTTGGTTTATCGTCAGACGCCTCTTCGGATCTACTGTCATCAGTTTTTTTATAAGATCGATTGCTGGCAAAGAAAACAATATTCTGATTAAAACTCTGCTTTGTAAAAGGGAGGTTCGTAATTGGGAGATGTCACTGTATTGCCAAAGTTATGAGTAGATATATTATGGGCTCTCTGTATTAAAATATACAATACTGCAACATTCGTATGCTAATTATTCAGTATAACATTTATCAAAATAACGCTGGTGTGCATAATTGTCTCTGATGCAATTCAAAAGCCTCACCACCTTTACTGACCAACTAGCATTGCCAAAAGCTTTCGGCAATAGTCTGTAGCGATTTCAAGGAAAACTGAGCTTTCGATATTATACAATGTATTAATAAAAAAAACCTACTGGTGTTGCATTTGGCGGCGGCATTCCATTTGTGGCAATGCCCATTAACTTGCAGGCCTTCTCTTTCATTATCTTGTCATCAAGCCAGGGATGGTCAAGGACTTGGTTTATCGTCAGACGCCTCTTCGGATCTACTGTCATCAGTTTTTTTATAAGATCGATTGCTGGCAAAGAAAACAATATTCTGATTAAAAATCCATTCGTGAGTGAAGACCAATAATAATAAGGGTATGTCAGGACTGTGTTATCATAACCACCACCATCGTTATTATCTTCATCATCACCCTCATCATCATAAAGGAATGGTGGTGCTTAAAAAAAAAACATGTTTAAAGCAAAGACCTAAATTATCTTTGCATGTCAAGGACATGTCTATCTTCTAAGCCAATTCAAGTGTGAACTGAAAATTAAATAATATACATATGAATATACATAAATTGAACATACAAATGAATAATATTTATTTAATTTTTATTGGTGTAAATATAATATAGTTATTGCAGGTTATGTGATAGAAATGTGTATATAACATTATTTTTTATTGATTTTTAATTTATTCTTTATTTATAAATTTTCTAATGCTAGTCCCTGTTTCCCCCATCGCTTGGAAAGCCACTAAAAAAAGTAATTTATTTTACTTTTTGGCAAACAAGCCTGCTCTTGGAGGAAACATAACTGTTAGATTGTCTTTTATCTATTTTTTTAAAGGTATAAACAAGGTAAAATAAATGAAATGAAAAAAAGTTTCCCAAGTTTTGTTATATTTATTACCAAGGCCATGACTTACCTTCCTTTGACACATCTGACCAATATTTATTTGGAAAGCTGTAATGACCCCTGGTAATTTGCTGATGCAACGTCATTACTTTTATTTGTTCTGAAAATGGAGGGTAACCGCTTAAGCTGTAAAAAAAAAAAAAAAAAAAAATTTAACTCTTTCATTATGATTTATAAAAAACTGAATGCTACCAGCCATTCACTGGTGTGAAGAGATCAAACTGTTTACATTTTAACATTAATTGCAGGATTATTAATATCCCTAATATAAAAATACTAAAATACATCTCCTTAAATTCATAAAATTGAGGGAAGTGCTCTAGTAAAATGTGAACTTTTGTGACATTAGTTACTTATATATTTAGCTAGATGATTATATAACCTTTATTTTGGTCCTTGGATCAGTTTCCTAGGTAGAGTACACCTTGAGTAAGATTTTTTTCAAATTCTGAAGTCTAAAGACATACTTTAAAAAGTAAAATGAAAATTGCCTCTAAAGATAAACAACTAATAAACTTTGTATTGGTTTTCCTATCAATTCTGAAAAACAGCTTTACAAAAAATGTGCCTCAAAAACACCTTTACCTCATGTAACCTAACTCAGAACTTTTGCTACCATGAAATATACATATTAAACTTATCAGAAATATTGAAACCCTATTTTTGTCGAAGTATCACTTCAGATATATTTTCTTGAATATCTCAAATTGACCTGGCGTACCATAAGACTCATTTTTTTCACGACAACTCACAAATGTTATTTGGTTACTGGAAAAAATATCTTACCATATAAATAAAATTACACCCAGACTCCATAGGTCAACAGCTTTGCTGTAGCCTCCCATACCAGCTGTCTTCAAAATCTCAGGAGCCAGGTAAGTCGGAGTGCCGCACAGGGTCTTCATAAATGAGTTCTCGCCGACAAACTTTGAGAGACCAAAATCTGTGACTTTTATTAAGGCGTCATCTTCCTCGGAGGACAAGAGGATATTCTCTGGCTTCAGGTCTCTATGTGTAATGCCTTTGTCATGCAGGTATTTACAGGCAGTAACCATTTGGAAAAACAGGAGTTTGGAGTGGCTTTCGGTGAGTTTACCCTTGCTGGTTATCTTATCAAATAACTCTCCTCCTTCGACAAGCTCAAGAATAATAAACAGCACGTCTGGTGTGTCAAAAACGTCTTCAATCTTTATAATACACGGCTAAATGATAGGGAGGGATAAGACACAAACATGGTCAGAAAAGAAGCCAACTTCAATATTAAATCATATGTGAAAGGCATATTACATGGTAAGTATATGGTATGCACTCAGACTTCTCAATGTAGTAAAATGAACTTCAGCAACCATGTCTTCAAATATCAGTAGTAAATACAAAATTTCCGTAGTCTTGAGTGCAAATATGGGTTGCTTAAATTTAAAAAAGGTACAGGATAATAACAGCTGTGGAATTTTAAAGAAATGGGACAGGATAAAGATTTACGGGCCACTTTTAGTTTTCACAATAATTTATCAGTAATCTGATGAGTTGTCTAGAAACAATGTAACCAAATATCCTGATGGAAAAGTCATTTGTTCTGGACTTTAAACCTATTTATTTATGGGTCTAGGCCTATGATAATTTCTGTAGTATTTTTGTTTATTTCCGTACGTCCGTAATTAGGCAAATATTTCTGTAGCAACTACATTCCGTAGCACTTGAGAAGTCTGTGCACTTGCCCTAAAATGCCACAACAATAAACCATGACTAAACAATTTACTGCATATTAATATTCTGGGTTTTATATACCAAAAGCCCGAATCAAAAGTGCTCCAAAAAATATTGGCCTGGAAATCATTGAATTGAATCATATAAATACAGGTATGGTACTCTAGTGGTCACTGTATACAGAATAAATCATACGCAATGACCACACTCCCCATCCCACCCTATGGTTAGTTGGGGGTAGGGGTATGAAATAACCTGTAAATAGGCATAGGCTGACTCATTCAACAACTTTCTTTCCCCCAAGGTTCACATTATGTCCAATCAGTTGCCATGAGGAAGACTTTCGTCTTTCCACGACGACAGGGGCTGTATAGACCCGGGTAACCCCTACTCTTCTCAAAAAATGTACAGGGTTCTTTAAAGTGCACACAAGTTCAAGAAAGGAGATTTGGTGCAGCAGTTTTCATTTCAGGTTGTGAACCTCGTTGTAGAGGGTTCAAACCACGCGCTGACCATTCTCGACCGGCCATGCTTAGTTACCGCAGCTTGCACTACTGACTGGTTGTGATGTGGCTCTCGCTATGTTTCAGCCCTAGGTTTGAGTATTTCATGGTTAATAAAATAAAATAAAATAAATATAAATATTGTTGCCGCCTCTCATCAATATTTATGGTAATGTCAGGCCTGATATACCAAGATATACAAAAAGAAAAGAAGTTAATTGTGTACACGGGTCCTTATCCGAGAAGAATTGTTCCACCTCCAGAACCATAGATGAGCATGCTGTTCGAACCAGCACTGATATCATGGCTGTAGGTTTTGGCACCCTGCCTTACCGCTTGGCCAATCCACTCGCCAGGTATGATAACAAAGACATTGATTGCAATGCATCAACCAATTCTACCCTGCAAATATCATAATCACTTTCAAGTTTCTGATACAATTCATCAGACTATGTGCTAGGACCCAATCATATGATAAAGCTCAGTTCATTTTAAACAGATGAATTGTAAAAAGTGGTTGGTTGGTTGGTTGTGGAAAACCTTGTTTACAGATGACATATTTTTTCAACAAATCAAAAACAAATCAACTTACATGTTCCAATGACTTCAAAATATCTACTTCGTCCATAACTTTCTTGCCCATATCCTAGAAATTAAATGGTATACCAGTTATAGTTATACTGGGTTAAGATGTGAATCTGTACTATATAGTGGGGAACAATATGTGCAACAACTATAAGAAAAACAACAAAAACAAGAACAAGTCACGAAGAAGTACAAGTAATCGTGACAATAATTAAAAGTAATACCAATAAATTTACTGGTTTTTAAACAAACGTCAAAATGTAGTTAGATTTATATAGCTTGATGGGCTGGTTCGTACAGTAACTTCAATGTAAACCAACAGTTCTCTATTGTCTATAGTCATTGAACTTAAAGCAAAAAATATGTAAATATATAAACATACATAAACCTTGTACACCATGTGCCCTGTTTATACCCAAGGACTAGTGACCTGACTTACTTTTAATACTGTTCCTCCGGTACTGAATGTTTTCTTCTCTATTATTTTCACTGCAACTCGTTTTGGCTGACTACCCTCATTTTCAAAAGCAAGACGAACCTCTCCACATGCACCTCTGATTGCAAAACATGCAAATATGGGCATTATTAACACAACGGTAATATACATACTATCACTTTTCAGTAACGCTCCGGGTGGTTTGCCAACATGATAACGTTACGATGTCATATTACACCAAACTATGGGTAAATGTACTGTAATTGTCACATAATATTTGATAAATTGCACATATCATTAGCTTGTATGTTTTATACATTTGTCAATACAGTAACATCTCCCAATTACATACCCCTCCATCCAAACAGAGTTTCAAAACAAAGAAATTTCTTAATCCAGAGAGAGCGAGATTTTATAGCATCTCAGTGGTGAGGGTGGGTCCAGGCCTGCTACATAGTACAGGGCTAGGTAGGCCTAAGCCTTGCCATGGGAGCAAATGTTTGTCACAAAATATGACTTGGATTTTACTGTTTTCTGCAACAGAAAACTGTACAGAAGCTAAAATTATCTGTACTTACTGTGAAGTATTCATTTAAAGCAATTTATGAATGAAAACATGACCATCATTTATAGCAAAAAATGAGTGTTAGTATTATTTTCTTAAAGATCATGAATCTGGTGTCAATTTATTGGTTTAAATTTATCCATTCTTAGCTTATGTAACATTTTTTTTTCATAATTGGGAGATGTTACTATAATACAATAAGAACAATTTGTATATATAAATATTTATGTTCCATAGAAAATTAAAAATCTTTAGATTCTTGCAATTTAATTGGTTGATTATATGTCACATTGGATGAAATATATTAAAGCAAGGTTGTATCAATGAAAAAGTACATTGCACCAATGTCATCACTATTTGTTAATAGTACCATTTGCAGATTGCGCTATGCAATTTTCGTTTCACTTAATGAACCGCATCGCTGTGTGAGAATTTTTTTTTCTCATTATTATTCAAGGTTTATTCCAAAATGTATCATCCAGTTAAAAACTGAATTCCAACAAATAGTTACAATTTACATGTATAAAACATTATAAATAATTATGTATACACACAACACTTTTGTCATGTCAAGAGGCGTACCATTTAATCCCCCTTTGTCATCATCAAGATATACAATCCAATTGCACTCATAATATTTGTTTACATACCAGCTGCTTCTATGACAGGGGGATGCTACAAGTTTTAAGAAAATTATTTGAACCCAAAAGTTATATTTTGACAAACCTGCCAATAGTTCTGGATAAAGTGTACTTCTTTTTCATCTCTTCTGGCATGCATAGAGACTCCTGGGATGTGTCCATGAAGACATAAGCTATGGGGAATAAACAAGGCAGATCAAAACACCAAAAATACATGCCATGTAAAAGAATCAAGCAGTAATCGTGAGAGATAAAATAACAGATTTCGCTGACTTTTAGGTGGCATTTTAATTTTTAAATGATTCTCAATTTTTTCATCAAACGTCACAGCACCATGACCTATGCAGTGGTGTAACAAAGAGGACTGCGGTCCCTAGCATCATCGGGCACTATTACGCTGATGGATGGTCTGGGTAGAGCACAAACATGGGGCAAATCCTCGTCCATTGCCGTCTTTGTTATTTAGAAGTTGTTACATTAACAGCTTGAAGAAAGATTACCTTTATTCTTTGCAACGGAGAGAGAAATAAGATCATTGTTCTTTAGCACACGCTTGTTTGATTTTCCTGTGAATCAAATACCACAGATTTTAGTGGAAAGATATTGAAAAGCAGAATTAAAACAGTGTACAATAATTGATGTACAAGTGAAATAATATCATACAAATGTTTATTATCAGCAGTGGTAGCGGATTAATAGTAGTGGAGATCTAGCCTGGTGGTTAAGATTCTTGCCTTCTAATCCTGGGGTCCTGAGTTCAAATCCTGCAACAGCACAGAATTTTTCTCATGGCTAAAAACATCTCCACTCCCTAATACTTCTAACAAAACACAGCTGATAAAGCATCACATTAGCTAGGTTCACATTCAGAATTTAACGTGATCTAGTGGATCATGATCAAGCCAGTCATTTTATGTGAACCA